GATAAATCAATAAAGCTTTGCAAGAATAACTTGTTATGCTTGTACGTACTTATAATTGCGCGCACATATCGTAGAAATAAATCTACATTTCTATTTTTAAGTGGAACGTAGTACATGTCATATTGTAATAATAATAAGCTCTCCTTCCAGCATGTTGGAATTCCTGACATCTGCGTTATTCATCTCCCGACATTCCTCTCATATTGTTTAACAAGAGCAATATATTTTACATTGTGTAACGCCAGTCAAGGAGTTCCAACAAATAATATAAAGCAAAAAGAGTTGCTTTAAATTTCAATTTATTAATTGGATCGTCTCTTTATTTAGAAATTTCCATATTACTGAAAGAAAATGTTTTAATATGAAATAATTGAAGGGGAGAATAAATCTCGTAGATTTAAAACCCAAGTCTCTTGAAAATAGGTTATGTATAAATTGGCTAAAAGTTTCTTTTTAAAACTAGGAACCGAGCTTCTCGATAATTCAGAGCTAAATAAAATTATACGAGCAAAATGAAGATCCAATTAATCACTTAATTAACAAAAATATCGAAGAGCCAAGAGAGAAGGTAAAGTTTAAAAGAACAATTTCCGCTGAAAATAGATGTGCAACAAGTATCCGCTATACTTCCGTCTCTATATTATTTAAGTAACTAAAGGGAGACTATATTTGGACCTAAATCGATATTCCAATGGTTTTACACTTACAACAATTCTTACTTTCTTAATGCACCGCTACAATATGTTTAAGTATTGCATTAAAGGGAATGTCTTTTAAATCAAAGAGACAAAGAGAGACGAAGCGACCAGAAAAATTGAGATAAATTATTTAGAACGTACGACATGATTACCAATTACAGAGAGAAAATGCATGTTTTTTTATTCAACAAACTCTACCGAGTTAAAGAAAATGAAGGGAGTGCAGAACGATTGAACAAATCTGAATTTATTTTAACACGTAACTAATTTTACGATAATACTATCGCATAATTACTATCGAAATATTATATTAAACAAGTAAAGGGAATAAAGTATATAATTACATTGTACGAAAATACAAGTAAAATGTAAATACTATTGCATACGAAAAATTATAAATGATATAACGCAATGAAAAGAATAAGATGGGTATAACACGGTATTATTGGTACGTTCGCCGGAAAGAAAAGGAGAAACGTCGAACGTAGAACAAAAGAAAAAGATTCATGACGCGTGGCAATCGTATCGTAACTGAAAGAAAGAATGAGCGTGAAAGTCCTACGTGAAGGGCGATCAATCGAAGCTCGTGACGCATGCCAACATATATATATATATATATATATATATATATATATATATATAT